GAGTATGTACTGGTGTGCTGAAGCTGGTCTCTGCACCAGAATGTGCTGTTTGCAAGGCAGACCAGACCGTCTGTCCCTGGTCACAGAGCAAGGACTCTAACTAGCCCACATGACATTTATATTCTTAAATCCAGTGCACACATTGGGAGAGCTTGCATCGTGGATTTTCTCCTGAAAACCCTGGGCCAGCACTCCACCCTGATAACAAGGGCCTGGAGCTGAGTAGAGGCCTCCCCTTCAGATGGTCCCCATACTGTTAGGGCTGCTAGGGTCCCTGGGTCACCTGCTTAGCCTCTGTAGGTGTTTGAATTTTCATATATACATACACCCTTTAAGAGTCAAGTAAACCACGAGACATCCAGGTGAGTGTTGGAAAGGACCAGTGTAGGACTGGGGCCCTGGAAAAGAAGAAAGGGGCTGTGTGTGTGTTTTTTAATCCTCACCTGAGGGTATTTCATTTTTTGATTCATTTTGAGAGAGAGAAACATCGGTTGGTTGCCTCCCCTACGAAATGGGGATCGAACCCACATCCTAGGTATGTGCCCTAATTTAAAATCAAACCCGCTCCAATCAACTGAGCCACCCAGCCATGGCTTGCATACTTTTTTTTTTTTTTTTTAAAGTTTACGATTAAATGTCTTATTCTCGCCAAAACCAGTTTGGCTCAATGGTAGAGCATCCATCTGTGATTCCGGTCAAGGGCATGTACCTTGGTTGCTGGCACATCCCCAGTAGGGGGTGTGCAATAGGCAACTGGTCAATGTTTCTCTCTCATTGACGTTTCTAGCTCTCTATCTCTCTCCCTTCCTCTCTGTAAAAAAATCAATAATATATATATTTTTTTAAATGTCTTATTCTCCAAGGACTCTACTTAGTTTATATACTGTCAGATTGATTATAACATGGTCAGAGGAGACACAGGCAATGACTACTTGTCAAGAGGTTGTGAGCAAACTTAATTTCCTATCTTACATGGAATTTGCAACTCTAAATGAACATTGTTTTTGTTTTTGTTTTTTTATAACAAGCATCCTGATAGCTACACTTTTCCTCTAACAAACATACAAAAAATAAGACAAGCATTGCTGTTTCTAAGGGTTACATTCCAAAGAGAATTAACAGAAAGCCTAGAATTAAACTGGAAGTTCAGAGAGCATGCCTGCAAATAAACTGCTCAAGGTAATGATGACAAGTTACAGCAAGCAGAGAATTAATTTTTTAAAATTTCCCTCTTATATGAAGGAAAACCAGTATGAGTTTTGTAAAAGGAATGCATACTTACTATAAATTATTCAAGCACTCCTAGAGGTTAAAAAATTCAAAAGCCACTGCTCATAAATAATTAGCAGTTAAAGGGGTATCACTCTAGAATCTTTTCATGCTTGTGTTCCAGAAAGGCAAAGGAAATTGAAATATTTTGATAAATATGCGATTGTTTTATATATACTATTTGTAATGCTATTGAATTTCATTTTATTTGTGTTTAAAACCTGAATCTGAAAGAATAGTAAAATTTCAAATAAATGTTTATTAGCCTCAAGAGATTTTTGTATTTAAAGATCCTTCTATAATTACAAAAATATTTTGGAGGAAAAAATAAACACATTGAGTTTATAGTGATTGTTTTTTACATCCCACATGTCAGTTTAGGTGTGACCATTTGACTCCCTGATGTGAATGATCAGGACATTACATCCAGAACCTTCCTTTCCCCTCCCCCACATCTTCACATATTGTGATATTAAGACTTAAAGGCACATCGTATTTACATTTTAGTTTGTCAAATGTTTTCATTAATATTATTCCACTGTTAAATGTTTCCAAATCTTACCACAGCCTGTTTTGCTGGGGGGGGGGGCGGGGGGGACAGTGACAGAGGAACTGCAGAAATGAGATGGAGGAGTTAATATAAAACTATGACTAACCCCTGAGGAGGCTAAAGCTGGGGTGAACTAATGACAAGGTAGGAGGAATCTGAGGTGGGGGAGGCAGGTACAGAGTGGGAAGGTAGGGAAAGAGAGATTTTTTTTTATAAGTCTTTATTGTTCATATTATTACAGATGTTCCTCTTCCCGCCCCCCTCCGTTGCTCCCCTCCACCAGGTTCCCACCCCACCCTCTGCCCTTTCCCAAACCATCATTGTCCTCATCCATAGGTGCACAGTTTATGTTTAGTCTCTCCCACATCCCCCTCTCCCCTTTTCCCCAAGAATCGTCAGTTCACTCCCCTTCCATACCTCTGATTCTATTATATTCAACAGTTAATATTGTTCATCAGATTTTTTTTTTTTTTGAAAGAGAGAGATTTTAACTTCTGTTCCTGCTTTTCTCCCACAATATCCGAGGGAAGATGACTGGTGGCCTCAGCCACTGACAGAAAGAAATCATTGGCAAAAGCTTGGCCGCTCAGGAATGCCAACGCCATCTCAGAGCTAAGCTGGGTTGAAATTCTGGTAAAAACAAATGCAGGCTGACTAGATGCCCAGGCACCCATTTCCTCCAGTCCCTCATGGATGGCAGATGAGTACTTCAAGGACAGCCCATGATCTACTCATGAATGGTGGCGGACCATTCTAAAGATCTTATCTTCTTTAAGTGCTTCTTCCCCTTCTCTCCTTCCCCCCCCCCCCAAAAAAAAAAAAAGATTTAAAGAGGTATCCCAGACTAGAGAGATTTCTCTATAAATGAAATCAAAAGAGATGTTGAATAAAAATTCTGGAGGACCCGAGGCTCTCCATCCTGGGGCTCATCCCCACCCCTTTCTTCACAATCACCAGGAGGGACAAAAACAGACCTTCATTGTAGCCCTTACACATTATCAGACTGATACACCACAAGGGAAAAGGGCTTACTAGCCAAAATCAGTAGAGATCTGATGTGTAAAACCACCATGAAATATATGCAATCAACTAAACACAATGCACAGATCAAGAGTGTAAAAATAAGTATAAAAGATATAACAAATATATTCAAAGATAAAAGAGAGAAAATTGCCGAGGCCGGTTTGGCTTAGTGGATAGAGCATCAGCCTGCAGACTGAGGGGTCCCAGGTTCAATTCCGGTCAAAGGCATGTGCCTTGGTTGTTGGTGCATCCCTGGCGGGGTGTATGCAGGAGATAGCTGATCAATGGTTCTCTCTCATCAATGTTTTTGCTCTCTGTCCCCCTCTCTTCCCCTCTGTAAAAAACCAATAAAATATATTTTTTAAAAAGAGAGAGAATATTGAATAAAATGAAGAAGGAACAAGAAGCAATAAAATAAAATAAAATAAAATAAAAAAGAATCCAGTGCCTCTTTCTATGGGAGAATAAATAAGTCATTCAGAACACTAAGAAAAACTAGACACAGTTTTAAAATATATACTTGAGGGTATTGGAAAGAGAACACAGTAGTCAAGAAGGAGTGGACCTGGATCTTGTTGAAAATGGGAATCCAGAAAAATGTACTGCACATTTGGACGACTTCTGCCCCAGGGGCACTTATTAATTCCGGACAAGTCAGCTGAGAGCTAAGCAGTGTTTTAGTCTGTCTCAAAGGTGTGGAGTAAGAAGTTATAGAATCTAGGGCTCATGTTGGGATGAGGACCCAAATAGCTGTAGTACAGTAAGTTTGAGCTGCAAGTAGTCCTGCTCTCTCAGGGATTTCAGACTTTAAAAATATCAGTTTGCTAGAATTTCTGAGAGCCCAGCACAAACAATTGCAAGTCCATCTGAGAGAAGGAGAAGAAGTCCTAGGTTTCGGATATGCAAATTAAAACTGCTGTGTGAAGTCACTACAGAACATCTAAAATTAAAAGACTTGCAATATTGCATGTGGGCAAGGATGTGAAACATCTCAGCTCTCACACTCCACTGGTGCTTGTTATATTAAAAAAGATGTACAAGAATTCTCACAACAGCAATATCTTTAAGAACCAAACATCGGAAACAAGGGAAATGTCCCTCTACAATAGATGGATAAATAGACGGATATATTCACACCATGGAACACTATATAGCAGTGAAAATGAACAGCTCTTTTAAAAAAAATGAGACCACCTGGTGGTAGGACAGGAAGAAGGCAGTTTTGCAAAACCTCCGCTCTTCAGAATGCCTGGGAGAGCTTCCACTCTGGCGGCAGCTCCTTGCTCTCTGCGCCTTAAGGTCCACGTAGATACAGAGGCGCATGGGTGGCTGCAGCCCTGTCCTCTGGGGGCTCATTCTCCACACACCTAGTTGTTGGGGGAAGGAGTGGTGTTGTCAACCAGCAGCCCGGGGTCAAGGAACGCAGGGCACTGTCCTCGCGATGGCCATGCAGATAGCTAGGGCGACATTGCTCTCTCTCTCCCACAGGGCAGCTGATTTGGGATAAAATGCGCCCATTCCTGGTGCCTCCTCTCTGGCGGGCCAGGTCTGCTGGGACATCTATGCCCCACGGAGGCGCCCAGAGGAGGGGTCGGGGCCTAGAGAAGGGTGTGTGTGTGTGTGTGTGTGTGTGTGTGTGTGTGTGTGTTGCGGGGAGAGGAGGCAGAGACCACACGGGGTGACAGCAGCGCCCCAGCACACACAGCCCACCACACCCTGGCTCCCCCGCCACCTCCTTCCCTTCCCGCCCTCCCAGGTGGCTGCGCTGCGCATCGGCGGCGGCGCGCGAGGGGGAGGAAGGGACTGGCATCAGGTTTAAAGACCAGAAGCAAATGTCCCCCTACAATTTCATGCCATTTCTTTTCTGGACTCAAAGGAGGGGTAGAGTGGTGCAGACAGACGCCGAGGGGCGACGAGAGACAGCCGGATTCCTGGCCTGCCGGAGGCCGGGCGAGGAGGTTCCCTCCCGCTCGGGTGCGGACTCCGGGTGGGCGGGCGGGCGGGTGGACCGATGCCCCCAGCCCCCCAGCCCCCCAGCCCCGCAGCCCGCAGCCCCGCAGCCCCGCATGACATCAGAGGCCGGGAGCGCGCAGAGCGCAGGCGCCGGCGGGGAGGGGGCGGGAGGGGAGCGAGCCGCGCGGCCGGGAGAGCGCCCCCCGCCCCGCGCTGTCCCCGCGCCCGCTCCGCCCGCGCCTCGCCGTCCGCTCCGCGCTCCGCGCTCCGCGCCTCTCTCCCCGCAGCGAGCGCCGCCCGCGACAGCCCAGCCCAGCCCAGCCTTCCTCCTCCTCCCGCCCCTCCTCCTCCTCCTCCTTTGCCGCCGCCGGACACGCAGCCGCAGGCCGGGGCCGGGGCGCAGCTGGGGAGGCAGGGACGCGCGCAGCCAGCCCTTCCCCCTCCGGCTCCCGCACCGCCGGCCGCCTCCCCGCGCCCTCCTCCTCCTCCTCCTCCTCTCCCCGCCCGGCTCCTTCCTTCGCTTCTCCTCCTCCTCCTGCTCCTCCTCCTCCTTCTTTCCCGGCCCCGGCTGCCAGCACCATGTCCGCAGGGGGAGATTTTGGGAACCCGCTGAGAAAATTCAAGTTGGTGTTCCTGGGGGAGCAGAGCGGTAAGTGCCCCGCGTAGTCGTCTCCCGGCGCCAGAGCACCCACCCCTGCGGGACCCGGGCCCCGGCTGGGAGAGGCCCCTCCGCGCCCGGGTGGAGAGAGGGGAGGGATGGACGGTGGAGGTCGGGGCGGCTCGGGCGGGGCCGGGCAGAGGAGGGGACCAAGGATAGAAAACGGTGGGGCCAGAGATCGGGGTCACGGTGGGATCTGGGGTAGGGGCTCGGGGTGCGGGTGCGGGTGCAGGTGCAGGTGCAGGTGCAGGTGCGGGGCAGCGGGGCGGGAGGCCGGAGGGCGGAGGCTCGTGCGGGCGCCGGGCTCGCTGGCTCGCTGTCTGGCTCGCATTGCGGCAGCGGCTGCGGGCGACCGGCGCCCGGGCAGGTGGCGGGGCGCTGGCGGGGGTCTGGACGAGGACAGACGCCCCTCTTCGGGGGGGAAAGAGGTGGGTCTGGCGTCTGCCCACCCCCGCGCAATGTACCGGAGGGGTTCCCTGCGGACCCTGCGCCCGCAGCCCTGCGCCCAGGCCCAGAGGCAAAGGGCGGGGGCAAAACGGACACCTGCTTCCTCTCCAAGGAGCGCCTCTGGGCTGCGGGGCGCCTTCCTCTCCTAGTGTATGTCCCCTGGCTACTCCCCTGGACGCAGAAGGTTCTAGACCCTCTGCCCTTTCCCGGCATGCTTTAGCCCCTTTAGGGCCCAGGGGTCTGGGCGATGGATGGGTAGCAAGGATTCCCCAGCGCGAAGCAGATTTGGGGGATGGTCCAGGGGTGCCCCTCACCCAGGGGCGGCGGTGAAGCCTGGCGCTGGACAGAGAAAGGAGCAGGCGACACGCCCTGCCCAGCTTCCCCGCACCCCTCCCCAGAGCGCCGGCAGCGGATCCTTCCCACCCCCACCTCCCAGCTCCCCGCCCTGCTTGGGGGAGGGGAGGTCACCGTGGCAGCCGGCCAGGGGCGGGGAGCGGGGGAGAGACGCGGCTTCCCTGCAGCCGGCAGCCTCCCTTGGGAAAAGCATCTTTGAAACCCAGGTGGGTCCCAAGGTGGGAAGGCCATCGAAGAGCAAGGGATTGAAGAGCAGGGACCTGCGAGACACCTGTAGGAAGGAGCGGTTCTCAGAACATCCCTCCCTCCGAAGGCCTCTCACCCTGGAGCTGCAGGCCCTGCCCAGCTCCTACTGGGGGAGAAGGCAGCCCCTGGGAGCAGTACTCCCCGCTCTGCAGACCAGTCCAGTTCACCAGGTTTGGCGTCTTTCTGTGCCGAGGGCCAAGAGGCAGGCAACCTTTGGAGAACCTGGTGGGCTCAGGGAACCCTGTCCCTGTGGTGTGTGTACATGTGGGTGGTGGGGGCCCCTGGCCATCTCCTGTCTGCAGCCCCTTACCTGGGGTGGATGGGGAGCTGGGAGGGTATCAGGAGGTGATCAGGCCCTAGCCTGGGGAGGGGGCATTTCAGAGCAAGGTGAACTCGGCCAGCCAGCCAGCCCTGTGGCCTGGACTCGGAGTTTCTGATCTTAATAGATTTCCAGTTTCAGAGCTCACTGTTCCCCAGGCCTGGAGGGATTTCGGGGTCTCCCCACCCCAAGGCTAGCCTCACTGGGAAGAGAACTCTGCAGGGAATTCCTCTCTTCAGCTCCCAGAGCAGATTTTGAGGCGTCACTGAGCCTCCATTTCTGTTTCTGTGGAATGGTTCCTGGAGGGCAATCCTCTTACTCCTTCCTGCATGTTTCTCTCAAAGGGCCAGGACCTTGGGGGTTCTCAATAAACATTCGTTTATTCCAAGTCTGAACATGTCTTAGGAAAGGGCCGGGGCTTTGCTGAGGACACTGGTGAGTTTGAGTGAAAACTCAGGGCTCCCTCATCATCCCTGATGGGCTGAGGCCCCTGCTGAGTCCTGCAGATCCCCCTTTTGCTGCTGAAATCACGGAAATTAGAGCTGCGCCTCAGAGATGGAGCCCCCGCCTCCCTGGCATGTGAGGTGGGCTGTCTGGGCTCCAGGGACGGCGAGGGCTTACCCAGAATCCCGTTGTGAGTTATTACCACTTCTCCTGCTCTCAGTCACTACCATGTCATTGGGGAAAGAAGATGACCTTGAGTTGAGGAAGCCCGAAATTGGGGAGTCTTCCTAAGAGAGGGTGAGGGGTGCCCCTGTCTGGTCAGGCTTGGGGCTGGGTTGGGTGGGAATGCAGGGCTAGTTGATTGGGGGCAGGGTTTGTGGGTCCTTGGAACACGGTCATCATGGATGTTAGTCTCTGCTCTCAGCGGGATTGGCTATTGGCCACTCTGGCCCCTCCTAGCAAGGAGTCCTGGGCTCTGAAAAGCTCCCTCCCACTTGGGTGGGTCATGAGAGGGTTTCTGCAGATTTTACAGAGCTTTCAGGGTCCCTGAGTTGGGCAGGGGAATGTGTATCTCTGAGTGGGTGGGACTGGAGAGTTGCCCCTGCAGCCACTGCTGCCATCTCACCTGCACCCAGTTTTGCCCGTGTTGGTCCTTTGTGCCAGCATCCCGTGGAGCCTCCGCAGTGGAGGGAGACCCTGAGCTCTAGCCCTCACTCCTCGCCCCCACTCCCACCATCCTCAGCTCTCCCTTTTGCCCTGTGTAACCTCTGAGGTTCCCTCACCTAAGCCAAGATTCAGTCACCTCCAGGGCTTGCCTGTATGAGCTGAGTCCCCTGGGAAGGGGCCAGGGGAGGGATCTGGAGATTTGTGGTCGCTGGCTTCCTGTGCCTGGCAAGTGCGTGAGGACAGCTGGATTCCAACGAGGAGTGTCCAGCCTGGGGCCCGGTGATGAGGAGAAGAGTCAATCTTCCAAAGATGCCAGGGACCTGGTGTGAGTGGGAAACCCTTGAAGAGCCACTCATGAGAGAACACCCCAAGCCCGTGAGAGAGCCCCAGTTCCCGGCAGCAGAATGACCTCTGTTATTCACTAGACCACATGTGTCAAACACAAGGCCCGCGGGCCAAATCCGTCCCGCCAGGCCTTGCAACGTGGCCCGCACCGCGCTGTCATCACTGCACTCCGCTGCGTTTCCATCACAATGACAGTTTATGACTGTTCAGTAAACCATTCGGCCCGCGATTTAGGCTGGATTTTAGATTTTGGCCCCTTCTCTGATTGAGTTCGACACCCCTACACTAGACCATGGAATACAGGCTGGCAGTGGGGAGGATTGTGGGGAGGGTGCTGTGGACCCAGGAGAAGGGGTGTCCTTGCACTAGGAAGACTGCCATTGTGCTGGGACTTAGATGGCTCTCTGGGCCTGCTGGCCATGCCCCTGCCGATGGCAGTGGTGGGAGACAGCCGGGAGATGCACACCAGTCCAGACGGGGGCACTTGGTGGCAGCCGAGAAGACAGGCACAGGCAGGTGTCTGAGGAAGGAGAGTGGGTCTGGGGACACATCTTCCTCCTGAGTTCTGATGGCATTCTAAGGGGGCTGAGGTTCATTGCGGTGTGTAGCGAGGAGGAGGGGTGTGAATGTATCTCATGGGCTGTGGCCTCTTCTGAGCTTCCTTCCCTGGCCCTCCTCCAGCAGCAGGAAGATTGATGGACACAGCAAGTTCCAGCCACTCACCCAGGCTGAGGCTGGCCGGCCAGCTCCTCCCTCTGGCCAGCCACCTCCCGCCCTGCCCCTGCCAGTTGTGCTGCTACCGGTTCCATCCACGTTGAGCACTGCCTGGGTGGTGGCCCTAGAGTTGTGCCGCCCTGTGACCCTGTGCGCACCTGCCACCTGGCCCTTACGGCATTTGTTCATTCCCCCCTCTCTCCCTTCCCTGCCTCCCTCTTTCGCCCTTCCTCCTCCCATCACCCATTTGTTTATTTAATCACATCTTTGAGCATCTCCCCGCCTCATAGAACTGATGGTCCACTAGGGAGTGCAGACAGTTGTGGGTATAATTACTGTAAAGGCCTGTGAGCGCCACCACAGCTGCTCTGGAAGCATATAGAGGAGACACTTCTACAGGCTGGTGCTCCTTCAGGCCAAGGGCAGGGAGTAGTCCTCCAAGGGTCCCCTTCCCTCTCTTCCCTGCTGGGGAGGGGGGGGGGGAGTTGAGGAGCAGGAGGACAAGGGCAACCCTCAAGTGTCTGGCTTGTTAGTACCTGGAAGGGCCTTTTCCTCCACTTTGGTCCCAGTCCTCCAGGGTACCGTATTTTCCGGCGTATAAGACAACTTTTGAAATGAAAAAAAAGCCTGCTCAGATAAAAAAAAAGAACTGGTGTTGCCTTGGAAGTGGGGTTAGTCTTATACAGCAAATATAGGCCTAAACCTATGTTTTAACTGTAAAATTAGGGGGGGTCGTCGTATACGCCGGAAAATACGCCTTCATTGGCCCCCCACTGTCCGGAGGGTCTACCCGCCCCAGCTTAGCCTGAACCCTGCCCTCCTACCACCCATACCACCCACAACCACCCTTTGCTGGCCCGATGGTTGTGCCTGAAACCCATACCAGAAGTTCTCTCTCCCCACTGACTCCCAGACTGGCTGGCTCCCCTGGGCACTCACCGTGTTTGTTTTTTCCTGAGGAATTTAAAAACAAAACAATCACACGCTGCTCTGTAACTTCTCTGTTATTTCAGTTACTTGGGATTTAAAAAAAAAAAAAATGTTTCTTTTTTTCCTAAGTACAAAAACCCTAACTGAATTTGAAGCCCCTTGAAGGGCAAAGTTCAGAAGGTTAAGGGGACGAACGAGGGTTTAGTTGTCAGTCCCCCTCCCCATCTTCGGGAGGTTAACGATCTCAGTTCGGAAATGATGAGGCGAACCTGCTGTGTGAGATTTGCTGCTGGCCCATCCACAGGTTAATAGTGAAGGGAGTCGCCTGGCTGGTGTGGCGTAGTGGTTGGGCATTGACCCATGAACCAGGAGGTCATGATTCCAGGACAGGGCACATGTCTGGTGTTTTGGACTTGATCCCCATGAGGGGGCATGCAGGAGGCAGCCAAACAGTGATTCTCATCGTTGATGTTTCTCTCTCTCCCTTTCCCTTCCTCTCTTTGAAAACAATTTAAAAAAAACACAC